CTTGCTGAAGTTGGCCAGAGAGGTGAGTGAAAACAGAAAAGCCCCTCCTTTGGGTGCTCACTGGAGTGCTTCCTGGAAAAAGCTCTGCTGCAAAATTGGATAGTTGAGAAATACTACTTTTGTGGCCTTAGCAGTATGTATCTGAACTGCAGACACATTAAAACTGATCAGTAAAGATCAAAATTGAAGATACAGTGATAGGAGTCAGTGGGAAGATAGTGCTTTTTTAAGAAGCTATCGAGCTAAAAGGTAGGATGTCTGTTCCCTAGCTCAAGTGTCAGAAACAGTACATCAGTAAGAAAAAAATAGGCATCAGCTAAGCCAAAGTAGGCTGGTCTCCGGGCTTCAGCCTGCAGCACTAAGCTGTGTGTGCTTTCCCTTTCTCCTTTGGCTTTCCTATTCATGCGTAGATGTTTTAAGGATTTCCAACTGCAGCGAGCCAACAAAATGGAGCTGCGAAAGCAACAGGAAGATGTGAGTGTGGTTCGTCGCACTGAGTTTTACTTTGCTCAGGCACGTTGGCGCCTGACAGAGGAAGATGGACAGCTGGGAATCGCTGAGCTGGAGCTACAGAGGTTTCTCTACAGCAAGGTATTGGGGTGCACAGTCATATAGCCACAGCCAAAGTCTGAGGCATAACCTATCTGAAGAGTTTGATCCATAGAGGAAAGGGGGGCTAATTGTGTAATTCTTCGTGATGGTCACAATTAGAGACATAGTAGCTTGTAATGAATGATGCAAGTGTGTAGATAAGATTAATCAAATGCTTTTTCATTAAGAAAATTATTCTAGCCAGGAGTGGTGGTGCACATTTGTGATCCTAGCACTCTAGGAGGCAGAGGCAAGTGTGTCTCTATGAGTTTGAGACCAGTCTGTCTACAAAGTTAAGTCTAAAACAGTCAGGGATACAGAGAGAAACCCTATTTTCAAAACAAAACAAAAAAAACAGCCACACTTGGCACATGCCTCTACTCCCAGCACTCTGAGAGGCAGAGGCAGGTGGATAGCTGTGAGTTCAAGGCCAGCCTGGTCTACAAAGTGAGTCCAGATTGGTCAAAGCTACATAGAGAGACCCTGCCTTGAAAAACCAAAAATGAAAAGAAAATTATTTTTAGAACTAAAGTGGAGCATGCAGTAATCATCCAAGTTGAATTGGAGTAGTGCCATTCAGCATTTCTGCAATTACTCTACAAGGGGAAAGAATGTTACAAGGAATGTTTGAAAATGAATGAGAAATTTAAATGTCACAAGAACTAGGAAGTACTAACATTTAGTTGTTTAGCTAGTATTACAAGAAACACTGGATTAGTGGGTATGTTTTGCATGTAAGATTGAAAGAGGTATTGGCAGGGTGTGATGGTGCGTACGTATAATCCCAGCATTTCAGATGTGTAGGTAAGGAGGCCAGGAGCCAGCCACAGTTTGAGGCTAGCCTGGGCTTCATGATTTACAGAGGAACGAGAAAAATAAAACTAGGGTCTTAGATTGGCTTATAATGATATGGACCAAATATGTCTTACAGGTGAATAAGTCTGATGACACAGCAGAACATCTCCTGGAGTTAGGCTGGTTCACTATGAACAACCTTCTTCCCAATGCTATCTATAAGGCAAGTTTTTTTTTTTTTTTTTTTTTTTTGTGCACCACAATGTTTACTGGGGGAGGTCCATCAGTCCTTCTTCGCAGCCGCCTTTCTCAGAGGTGCCAGCATGTTGCTCAGCTGCTCAGCTCCTGCTTTCTCTTGGCTATTATGTGCACGCCCATCCTCTTCTTGATGAACTTGAGTGCACACTTGTCCTTAGACACCTTTAGTAGCTCCATGGCGTGCTGCTCATAAGGCGCGAATCTGCACATCTCCCTGATCATGTCCTGCATGACTTGGTGTGCTTGGTGAGATGCTGGCAGCGTTGGCTATGCCTTGGCTTGCTGATGTTTTTCGTCACCTTGTGGCCCCTGTTGAGGCCCTTGGCCATGGGGTAGCACAGGGCCATGGCTGCTGCTCTCCATTCGAGACAGGAAGACTATGAGGTAAATCTTATTTCCCCATTCCTATGCCACTTATATTTGCTTTAGTGCAGAAGGCATTTGTGGTGGTTGTTTCATAACCTTGTATAGGAAGCAGTGTGATCTGGGATGGTACAGCTTGCCGAGCTTAGCAAAACCATTGCTTCAGTTCTCCTACAGAAGATTTGTGGATTGATTTTTAAGTTGGGTTTTAGAGAGGATGTTTAGTGGAGTTATTGTTTGCTCTGGCCTATAGGTGGTTCTGCGGCCCCAGAGTTCCTGCCAGTCAGGGAGACAACTAGCCCTCCGCCTCTTCAGCAAAGTCCGGCCACCTGTTGGAGGTATCTCTGTTAAGGAACATTTTGAGGTTAGTAAACAGTTCTTTGGAAGCCCAGGATCAAAGGACAGTTCAAAACTAAACTGCTATACTAGTTAGTAGTGGGAGACACTGAGCTTACTTGCTTCCTCACCACCTTCCCTCTTAGGTAAATGTGGTGCCTCTCACCATCCAGCTGTCCCACCAGTTCTTCCATAGAATGATGGGCTTTTTCTTTCCTGGTCGAAATGTGGACGATGATGAAGTGGGTGATGAAGAGGATAAGTCCAAACTTGTGACTACTGGTAAGAATTGCTGTGCTGGAATGCCAGAAGAATGGTGTGATGACCCAAAGCATTGTCAGGAGAAGTGTCACTGTTGGTGTGCTTGTGTTTTCACAGGAATACCAGTGGTGAAGCCTCGGCAGCTGATAGCCACAGATGATTCGGTACCACTAGGCCCTGGGAAGGGGGTAGCACAGGGCTTGACCCGGAGCTCTGGAGTCAGAAGATCATTTCGAAAATTACCTGAGGTATGGCGCATGTTCCTAAGGATTGAAAGATCAGAGCAGCTGAATGTGGTAGTGCCCTCTGTAATCTCAACTCTTGGGGGACCAGAGCTGGAAGAGTTAAGTTTGTTTTTATGTATGAGTGTTCTATCTGCATGTACACCTGCACACCAGAAGAGGGCATCAGATCATATTACAGATGGTTATAAGCCACCATGTGGTTGCTAGGAATTCAATTCAGGACCTCTAGGAAAACAGACCACTCTTAACCACTAAGCCACTGCTCCAACCCTTAAATATTCCTTATTAAAGATTTTTTTTCCCCCACAGGTATTAATAGTCCCGTTGGGCCTGGCTGGGTTTCCCTTTTTCCTTTAGTCTACTCCAGGACTGAGAGGATGGAATAATGTTTAGGGTCTTGGGTTCTCATGATGGCTTTAGGGCTTATGTTCCTTTTCTTTCTTTCCTAGCATCCAGTTGATGATATTGATAAGATGAAAGAGCGAGCTGCCATGAACAACTCCTTCATATACATAAAAATCCCACAGGTTCCACTGTGTGTCAGTTATAAGGTATGTCCCATCTCAGCACTTTCTTGAGTAGGAAGGAAACTGAAGATTAGAGACAGGGTGACATGACAATCAGGCTTCCCGTGAAAGTGGGCCGTGGGTGACAAACCTGCTGTTTCTTCTGCTTCCTGCAGGAGTCAGTACTATTACCAGACTGAGGTAGGGGAAATCAAATATGTAGGTTGCTATTGTAGGAATATGATAAGCCAAGGGACTTAGATTCAAAATGGCAGATGATGAAATTTTTCCTTTTTTTTCCCCCCTCCTCTTCCTTTTACAGGGTGAGAAGAACAGTGTGGACTGGGGTGACCTTAACTTGGTGCTACCCTGTCTGGAATACCACAACAACACGTGGACATGGTTGGACTTTGCCATGGCTGTCAAAAGGGACAGCCGGAAAGCTCTGGTTGCCCAGGTATTCCACCAGGGCTCATGGCTGTTTCATTAGCAGGAACTGGCAAACATACTGCCTTTTTAGGAGCCTTTTGTTCTATATTAAGAGATAGCCAAGAGAGGAGCAAATAAAATGACTCATCCTGTTGTTTCATCAATGACTGCCCCAAATATTTTACTGTTTATTATACTGTTTCTTATATTTTGGCTATCATTAATTTAAGGGAATAAAGGGCTTCTACATCAACTTTATGATGGGTTCTGATTAAGATTGTAAGCTTCTTGAAAGCAGAGACCATTATCTATATACTTTGAACTGCCCCATTGTACTTTGTAAGTGTAATAAATCTTTGAATTGGTTTACTTGGAATTCTGCAGCCCATTACACTGATATTTTTGCCTTTTATTCCTTTTCATTTGCCAGGTAATCAAAGAAAAACTAAGGCTGAAACCTGCAATGGCATCTGAGGTCCGGGGAAAGCTGGAAACAAAGTCTGACCGGAACATGCAACAGCAGGAAGAGGAGAAAGCTCGGCTCCTTATCGGTTTAAGTGTGGGTGACAAGAACCCTAGCAAGAAGTCCATCTTTGGCAGGCGCAAGTGATGTGGAGATCCAAGTGTCTGCAGTATAAAATCTGACTTTGGCTCAGGGTCCGGGGACTTCAGAGTGGGCAGAGCTTCCCTTAATCCCGCAGGATTTGTGGGGCTTATGGGAACTGAGAGAGACACTGGTCTTCAACAGCTGGCCTATCCCTGCAGGGCATGGTAGACAAAAGTGCTGAGTTCTCTCTCATGCTTATTAGGCAAGAGAACTAGGAGACCCAGGGATCCTGCTCCTTGGGCACAACAGAAGAGGTTGGGGGATAGTTTTGATCAAGTATGATAAATTTTATAAAGACATATATATATATAAAATATATATATATATATTTCTAAGTGTAATTGCTCTCCCTTTGTGCCAGTAAGCTGAGGGGAGGGGTCTGATCCTCTGTGCCTCACTCCACTCTTGTTGTATAAGAGGTGTTAGTGTTTGGGGGGGTCAACTTCCCAATCTGTGTGCTCACTTGGGAGGATGGCATTTGGAGCCAGGGCTGGCCATGGGTACCTTACTTCCTCCCTGGGGTATGCCCTAGAGAATGGACGAAGAAAAAGATGATTTAAAGAAAAAAATATTTTAAATTTGATGCTGGCTTTTTTTTTTTTTTTTTTTTAATTGTACTAAGAGCGATCAACTTGTGTGTGCCCTTCCCTCCTCAGTAACCTCACACATTTTCACCTGCCACTATGAAGACTGTGGCCTCTCTTCTCTGCTTTCAAGTTCTGTCACAGATAGTTCCTACCCTGGGTATGATGTGGTCCTAAAGCTGATGGGCCTATGTACACTGGAAGAGGCGGGGCTCATGGGTCATGCAGCATCAGAGGGAGGGATTGCTTATGTAACTGGGACAGCAGATTTAGCAGAAGGAAAGGAGGACTGGGGATGGGAGCAGTGAGCTGTCGTCAGGGGCAACACAACCGGGTGTCTGCTCCTCAAAAGGTAAGGTATGGGGCTCTGGCTGCCTAGGGAAGGGAAGGAGATAAGGGCCTGAGGCTAGAAAGTGCCTAGTTAGGAGCCTGTTGGTGATACCCAGTATGGGGGTGGGCATAGAGGCTGTAATGTGAACAGCCCCACTCATGCACAGGTTGTATTCCTTTTTTGTCGTGGAAAAAAACATACAACTGTTACTGTCATAGAGATTTATGTCAAGGAAATCTAGATCACATTACAAAGCCTGGGAATTTTCCTTCCATTCAGAGCAGTGGTTGTCAACCTGTGGGTCACAACCCCTTTGGAGGTTGAATGACCTTTTCACAGGAGTCGCATATCAGATATTTACATTCTGATTCATAACAGCAAAATTAGTTATGAAGTAGCATTGAAAATAGTTTATGGTTGGTGTTTCCACATGAACTGTATTATAGGGTAACAGCAGTAGGACAGTTGAGAAGCATTGCTGTAGAGGTTAACACGTCATAGGAGTACCTGCTGAGATGGGCAGAACTTACAGCGCTTCATGGGCAGCTTAGAATGGCTCCCTTCTCAGCAGGGTGGCAACAGCCAGGGACCCTGGGCGCAAGGCTGGAAGAGCCTCTGGTGTGGTATGGGGACCATCAGGTCAGGTCTGGAAGAACTATGGAAACTACAGAGGCATCAGTGCCTACGTCAGGAACCACTCCAGCCAGACCCTCTGCTGCTGGAGAAGCCTCTGTCTGAGTGGCCAGTGCCTCAGTTCATCAGCCTCTTTCTGCCAGAGTTTCCCATGAGGCCTGTTAGGGGGCAGCAGGAGCTGAAGGTAGGTCGTTGAGTCCCTGGAAAGTGTCTTTGGGAGGAATCTAGAAATAACCAGTTTCAGTTGCCCTTTTCTCCATTTCTTTGTTCAGATTTTAGGTCTTGTGGCTAAAGGTTCTTTTGGAACTGTCCTGAAAGTGCTAGATTGTACCCAAAAGGCTGTATTTGCAGTGAAGGTAGGAGTCTAGGTATTTCACTCTCTCAGTAGTTGCTTATAATCTTAGTTGCAGAGATTAGGGGGAATAAATTAAAGAGCATTATTTACCATGAGTTTACCATTACTCTCCACCTTAGGTGGTGCCCAAAGTAAAAGTCCTACAGCAGGATACTCTGAGGCAGTGCAAAGAGGAGGTTAACATTCAGGTACGCAGAGTTCTGAAAACATGGCTGGAAGAAAGTACCTTTCTTTGTCCAACTTACCTGCTTTGTTTTGTTTTTGTGAAGCAGGGTTTCTCTGTGTAACCTTGTCTTGTCTGTCCTGGACTTAACTTTGTAGAGCAGGCTGCTTCAAACTCACAGAGCCCCGCCTGCCTCTGCCTCCCAGAGTGCTGGGATTTCAGGCGTGCGCCACCATTCCTGTCACTTGCTTTTGATTCTACTGTCCACATATGTTTCCATCGTAGCATAGTGTAGCACCAGAGTAAATCCTGGGAAAAGTGGTAATTAGCTGTGGACACACTCCAAATTCTGTCAGGGAACTCTCTCCAACATATCTTGGTGCGCTCCTAAGCAGTGTGCTCCCAAGATTCTGAGGGAGGCAGTACCAAATAAGCTTAGTCAAGTGAAGCAGCAATTCATGTCTACGTTAAGTCAGCACCTCATTTCTTGGCTACCTTTGTCATCAATAAGCCTGTTCTTTCCTAAGTTGTTGTTTTCTTTGTCCCTAGCGGCAGATCAACCATCCTTTTGTACACAGCTTGGGGGACAGCTGGCAGGGGAAACGACACCTCTTCATTAGTGAGTGACTGGGTTTTGGTTTTACCCCCAAAGGTCCATATGCTATTCTCCCCACTTGACATTATTCTGCCTTTGCTTGGTTCCATTCCGCATAGCATTTCTGTATTCCGAAAAAGAGAAATAGCTGGTGGCAGTAGTTTGGGCAGGATGTCTGTAACGCTCTGAGCCCTGGCATTATAGACCCCAAGTATTGCCTAGACTTCTGGTGCTTTGCAGTGTGTAGCTACTGCAGCATGGATCTCTACTCCCTGTGGTCTGCTGTTGGCTGTTTTCCAGAGGCTTCTCTCCGTCTGTTTGCAGCTGAACTGGTCCTGGTGCTGTGTAAGTGAAAAAGTGGTCAAGGAAATGGAAAGGGGAGAATTCAGTTAGTGGAGAAGAGAAAATTGAATTGATATTTAATTCTGGAAGTTAGGGTAGAGATGGGGTAGAAAATACGAGGAAGCCAGCATAGACACACCCATGCGCACTATTCTCCGCAGGCTACCTCCATGACTTGGGCATCATCCACCGGGACGTAAAGGTAGAGCTTTCTTTCTTCTTAACTTGAGGAAGAACCTCAAGAAGTTCCAGCAGGTCTGAGAAGGTGTTAGGAAGCAGAGACAGTCAATCTGGGTGTGGGTCCTCCAAGTATAGATTTCAATGCTGAGTAAACTCCTCTAGCTAACAGCCATACACAAACGAACACCAGGTGTGCTCATACATGTGTATACCCCAGCTCTGTTGAGGGGTCAAGAGGAGTGTCACAAGTTTGAGGCTAGCCTTTGTGTGTGTGTGTGTGTGTGTGTGTGTGTGTGTGTGTGTGTGTGTGTATAAAAATTTAATTCTGGAAGTCTGGATAGAGATTGGTTAGAAGCTACAAAGAAACTGACATAGACACACCCATGCTCATATGCTCATATATATATACACACATTAATATACCCTAGCTATATAATGAGAACTTATGTCAAAAATAACAATGGAAAACCAAATCAGAGCAAAAAAAGAAACAATTAAGATAATGTCCTCTCACCCATGATTTCAGATGGAGAATATCCTTCTAGATGAACGAGGTATGTATCTTCCTTTCCTAGTCTCACGATGAGTGGGTCCTCTGTGGTGGTGGGGACAGGGCATGGGTCAAAACAGTTTCCTTACTTCATAGGCCATCTGAAACTGACAGACTTCGGTCTGTCTCGCCGCCTATCCCAGGGAGCACGAGCCTATACTATCTGTGGCACTCTCCAGTACATGGGTGAGAGAGAAGCTAAAGCTGGTGGGGAGGATGGCAAAAGGACGTGAGTGACAATGCCTCTCATGCCACAGCCCCAGAGGTCCTGAGTGGTGGGCCTTACAACCACACTGCTGACTGGTGGTCCCTAGGAGTACTGCTTTTCTCTCTGGCAGCTGGTAAGGTGAGAGAATGGTTGGTGGTGCTGAAGGAAAGGCAGCTTTTCTTTGTGGTAGGAAAGACCTTAGAAAGCCTTACCTTCCTCCTACCCCTACCTCTTCAACTTAGTTCCCAGTGGCTGCAGAAAGAGATCATCTGGCCATGTTGGCAAGTGTGACCCGCTGCGAATCTGAGATTCCAGCTTCTGTTAATCAGGAGCTCTCACTCCTGCTCCAGGAGGTAGGATATGCACTGCTTTCCTGACTCCCAAGCTACTCACCTTTTCATTAAAGTGCTATTTCCTGCCCATCCCCTCTCATTTCTCTAACTGGTACCGCAGACTTCATTCCTGAGTATCTGCCACCCTAAATCCTTTCCTAATCCAGAACAGACAGGTCCCTTTGAAGAGCATGGACCAGTCCTACCTTATCTGCAAATCCAAATCCATTTTGTTTACCTTCACCGTCCTCCCATTTTCTCCAATCACCATGTTTCTTTTTCACAAATCTAAGCTTTCCAGAGCTCCATGGACTATTATTCATTGTCTCTGTCCAGTCTTTCTTATCCCAGTCTCATATTCTGTTTTCCTTCAGCTCTTATGCCAGAACCCTCTGCAACGTCTACGATATCTGCATCAATTCCAGGTCCACCCCTTCTTTCGAGGTGTGACCTTTGACCCTGAGCTCCTACAGAAGCTGCCAGTGAACTTTGTCGTGGAGATGCAAGCTACCTGGCCCAGTCCATTGGAATCCATGCCCTTCAGGGACTTTGACTATGATCTGGAGTCCTTGGTCCATTCCATCTCTGCAGATTCTGTACTGTAGCTGTGTGCCCAGCTGGAAACTACCACCATAGTATGCCCACTATGATGGCCTAGTTTTTACTTTGTTGTTCCTTGCTGTTCTCTATTGTAGGTATTGGCCAGAGTTTAAATCTTTGGCATTTTGCAACTGATAGCCAAAACTGCCTCTAATGCTTTCCTATCATACAGCTACCTCTTAGTCGCAGGTCAAGGCAGTGAGTGACCTTCTTTACTTCACTTCTCTAGTACTTTCACTTACACTGCCAAACAAAGGCTTCTTGAGCCTTCCTGTATCCATGTTTTTCTACCATACTTCCTTTCTTGGGCAATAATGACAGTCTGTGGGCTTCCAAGGTGCTATTTATATGTTTAACAAGCTGGTAGAGGCTGGATGGTGTTGGCTGTGCATGTCTCTAATCCCAGTGCTGGGGAGACAGAGGCAGGCAGATCTCTGTGAGTTTGAGGTCAGCCTTATCTACAGAGTGAGTTCCAGGACAGCCAGGGCTACACAAACCCTGCCTCAAAAAAACAAAAACCAAAACAAAATACCAAGCTAGTCAGAAGCAATGTGAATGTTTTTTAAAGGTTGCAAAAACTGTCATTTCAACAGCTGAATAAATATCCCAGCATTTGAGAGGCAGGAAGATCTCTTGTGAGTTCAAGGCCATCCAAGCTGCAAAGTAAGCCTCACAGCAGCCAAGCCTGCATAGTGAGACCCTTCCTTCTTTTCTTTCTTTCTTTCTTTTTTCTTTCTTTCTTTTTTTTTTTTTTTTTTTTTTTTGGTTTTTTAAGACAGGGTTTCTATTTATAGCCCTGGCTGTCCTGAACTTGCTCTGTAGACCAGGCTGGGCCTCAAACTCAGAGATCCGCCTGCCTCTGTCTCCCTGTGTGAGTGCTGGGATTTAAGGCAGTGCCACCACATCTGGCTGAGACACTGTTTCAAAAAAAAAAAAGGAGTTGGAGAGATGGCTCAATGGTTAAAAATGATCATTGCTGACAAAGGGCTTAGATTGGGATTTTAGCACCCACAGTGGCACCTCACAAGTGCCTATACATCCAGCTCCAGGGAGATCCCACAGTCTGGCTTCCTCAGATATGCATACCCACATATGTATCCACATAGATACATGTAAAAATAGTTTAATTTTAATGCCAGACGTGATGACACCTGCCTTTAGTTCCAGCACCACCAGCGAGGCAGGTGGGTCTTTGTGACCTTAGACTGGTCTACATAGTGAGTTTCAGGCCAGCCAATGCTACATACTGAAATCCTGTCTCAAAGAAAATGACAGAGCAAAATGGCCCAGCAGGTAAAGGGACTTGCCATGAAGCCCGAGGACATGAGTTTGATTCCCCAAGACTCACATGGGGAAGGAGAGATTGACTCCCACAACATGTATGCAGTTTCCCCAACTAAATAAAGAAATGTAATTAAGAAAGTGTGATCTCAAGGCTTAAAGCTAATTTTCAATAAATATAATTTTTAAAAATTGGAAGTGAATCTAATAATTGCCTAATATGAGGAAGAAAATAGAAACTTCAGTATGGGTAGATCTTCTCTAAGTAACTTGAAAGCCTCCCAAATCTATTCCAAAAGCCTCCTAAACACACAGTGATAGCTGGGCGGTGATGGTGGATAACTTTAACCCCAGCACTTGGGAGACAGAGGCAGATCTCTCTGAGTTTAAGGCCATTTCAGTGTGCAGAGTGAGTTTCGAGACACCCAGGGATACACAGAGAAACCTTATCTCATCTTGAAGCCTCCTCCCCCGCAAAAAAAGACAAGGATTATTAGACTGATCATTTTCTCCCATATAGATTCAGAGTTGTTTTTTGTTTGTTTGTTTTCCCTTTTGACCTAAATCAGCAGAGGACTAGGGGATCAGAAAATAAAGAAGGAAAGTTTGGGATTGGGTCTTTTATAAACTCTGTCTTATGCTACACCGAGCAAACTTATTTTTTTTTTAAGTTTATTTAATTTTATTTTATGTGCATTGGTGTGAGGGTGTCAGATCCCTTGTAATTGGAGTTACAGTTGTGAACTGCCATGGGGGTACTGGGAATTGAACCTGGGTCCTTTGAAAGAGCAGACAGTGCTCTTAACCACTGAGCCATCTCACTAGCCTTAAGCTTATTATTGTTATTATTATTGGTTTTTTGAGACAGGGTTTCTTTATTTACTCTTGGCTGTCACGGCTCATTTTGTAGACAGCCTGGCCTCAAACTCAGAGATCTGCCTGCCTCTGCTTCTCTAAGTGTTGGGATTACAGGTCTGTCCCACTGTGCCCAGCTGTCTCAGTATGTTTTAAACAAGTCTGTTGGTCCAGATCTGGGGTATAAAACGCAGGCATTGCAATCCCTCTTTCTTTTATCTCTTGTGTTGCCCAGGGTCTTGTGCATTCTATGCAGACCACCACTGAGTAGACCAGCCCCAAACATTGGTTATTAACTGAGGGAAACAGGTTTCAGATTTCTCATTTTTTAAAATCAATTATTTCTTGAAAATAGTTACTTGTACCTACATGTATGTAAGCATGCTGTGGTGGTAGTGCCTGTGGTGGCCAAAAGAGGGAACTATAGTCATGAATGGCTATAAACCATGTTTGTGCTGGGAGTGGAACCCTCTGCTCTTAACCATTGAACCATCTCTTCTGAGACACACTCAATAGTAGCAGAGGATGATCCTGAACTTCTGACTCTCTTGAGTGCTGAGATTACAGGCCTGTACCACCAAGGCCAGTTTCTGTGATGCTGATCAAACCTTGCATGCTAGACAAGCATTCTACCAACTGAGTAACGTCCTCCATCCCTTGTGATGTTTTTCAAAGGCAGGGGTAAATGGCTTGATGGTATACACCTGAATTTCAGCACCTGGGCAGGGCAGCAGTGGCAGAAGAATCCTGGCTTAACACTAGCCTGGGCTACATAGGCACGCCTGTGTTTCTAAGAAAATCTAAGACCAGCAAAGTCATCTTAGCATGAGTAAAGGCTCTTGGCAGCCCAATTTGATGATAGAAGTTTGGTATCTGGAACCTGTATAGACTGATGACATGACCATTCCAAGGAAGGTTTTGTTTTCTTTGGGATTCTCTGTATACCCCTGGCTGTCCTGGAATTCAGAGAGCCACCTGCCTCTATCTCCAGGGTGCTGGGATCAAAGATGTGTGCTGCCACCATCAGGCAAAGGGAAGGTTTTTATTGTAGATATGAGAGAGGTATAGCCAGAAGCATCTGAAAGAGTCCAGAGTAGAGAGAGAAAATAGTAAAATTAACATGGCCAGCAGAATGGACTTGCCATGAGAAGCAGGAGCAGAAAGGTGGAGGAGAAACAGAGAGGAGAGAAATGTAGACAAACAGTGAGCTTAGCTAAAATAGCGTTAGGAGGAGAATGAGTAGCTGGGGGAGGGAAGCTCATGAGCTGGAAAAGTTTAGGGTAGGGAAGGAGGTGTGAGGAGCTGAAAGAGATTCCAGCATGGAATCTGAATGTGTACCAGGCACTTGTGATACTGAGGAAGCCTGGAGGCCAGCATATGCTTTGAAATGCTAATAGGCACCACAGATAGCTTTTGTCCCTCTGCCAGTGATAAGGGAAATGCCTCCTTTTGGTAGGGGGAATTGGCTTCACAAGTTCCTGAGGAATGCTGACTTTTGTTTAACTGCCAAAATTTGGCAAAATGGAATTTCCTTTGGACTTGACAAAACTCATATGGTAAAGGAGAGACTCAAGCCCTGCAAGTTGTCCTCTTACCTCCACACGTGTAGTGTGTACATGTACAGACACACACTGAATAAATGAAAAGCAAACCATTAGTGACATGATATATGTATATGAATATTCATAAAACCCTGGATTTGATTCAAGTGCGATGTCAAAATTCTGTAATCACAACATTGTGGAGGTGGGGGGATCAGAAATTCAAGGTCATCTTAGCTGCATTGAGGCCAGCTTCAACTTTAACTCAGTGTGGAACCCTATCTCTCTCTCTCAGCTCTCTTCTCTAACACACACCCAAAGTAAAAACAAAATAAGGATAGATAGAGAGATGGCTCAGAGGTTAAGAGCATTGGCTGTTCTTCCAGAGGTCCCCAGTTCAATTCCCAGCAACCAGATCTGATGCCCTCTTCTGGCGTGCAGGTACACATGTAGACAGAACATTGTTTATATAATAAAATCTTTAAAACAAAACAAGAAAACCCAAACCTGAATGTATGCAATGTGATGGCAAAGTTCATGTCTTTAACCCAGACCTTTAAAAAAAAAATTGAGTGTTTTGCCTACATGTATGTCTCTGTACCGTCTGTGTGCCTGCCTGGTGCCCAGTTAGGCCAAAAGGCATTGGATCCCAGGAACTAGAGTTATAGCTGTGAGGGTTGTGTGGATGCTGGGAATTGAACCTGGGTCTTCTGTAAGAGCAACACGAGTGCTCTTAGCCACTGAGCCATCTCTCCAGCCTCAAACCTAGAACTAAAAATAGAAAAGAACACTTTCAAAATTAGGAATGAGAAATATAAAAAAATAAATCAATTAGGTTTACATCAGTTGCCTAGGAAAGGTTTATAATATGTTGAACGGGACAAAATGCGACAGTAGCCAGGCATGGTGGCACACACTTTTAATCCCAGCACTGAGGGGGCCAGCTTGGTCTACATAGCAGTTTCCAGGCCACCCAGAGTTGTATGGTGGACTCTATCTCAAATAAAATTTCTCTTAAAAAATATTTTTAAAAAGTTTAAGTCATCTTCCTTGGCTACATAGTGAGTTGAAGGCTAACCTGGAATAGCTGAGACACTCCTTTGTTTTTGTTTTTTAAATAATTCCAATGGTTGGTTGTTGTGACAGGCACCTTTAATTCCAGCACTCAGCAGGCAGAGGCAGGTGGATCTCTGAGTTTGAGGCCAGCCTGCTCTACAGAGTGAGTTCCAGGACAGCCAGGGCTACACAGAAACCATCTCAAAAAAAGAAGGGAAAAGCTTTGGTAACAACCTGTAACCCCTCCATCCCAGCCTCAGCTCCTTAGCAAGATTGTGATAGTAAAAAGAAAGCACTAATTAATCCTAGACATCTCTGTTTAAGCATTGAAGTATCTGTAAGAAAGTCTATATATGTATTAACAAAACTATGTACATTATACCTGTGTTTAAACACAAATGCACATACACTAGGTCATTACATGTGAGTAGACTTATAAGTCTGCCTTTAATTCATTTTTGCATTTTATTGTTTTACTTACCACAACTGTGATTTTGGTACCAAGCTGTTATGTTATTTTCCTTTTTATCTAACCCTCCCTATTCATAATTGCTACTGGGAAAACCTGTCTTTGTATGAGTGTATCTGGGATCTGACATATTAACTGCCACAAGGACTGAGCATCTCACACTTGTGTAATGCAAGCTTTTGCTAAAAGTTACCAGCCTGGATTTTCCTGCTGCCTCCCACTATTTATTTGCTAGGTCTTTTTTGAAAGGACCATAAATACTCCTTGAGATATCTTTTGCTAAACCTTGCTCAATTCGAAGCTCAAGAGCATTCACAGGACTCAAGAGCCAGGATTGTTCAAAAAGTACTTTCTCAGGCTGGAGAGATGGCTCAGAGGTTAAGAGCACTGGCTGCTCTTCGAGAGGTCATGAGTTCAATTCTCAGCGACCACAGGATAGCTTGCAAATTTCTAAAATGAAATTTGGTGCCCTCTTCTGGTGTGTAGGTATACATGGAAACACATTGTACACATAATAAATAAATCTTTAGAAAAAAAGAAAAGTGCTTTCTCTGTGTGGCCTTGGCTGTCTTGGAGCTGTAGAGGAGGAGACTGGCCTTGAGTTCTGAGATTTGCCTGCCCCTACCTCCCAAGGGCTGGGATTAAAGGTCTGTGCCATCACTGCCCCTCAAAAGGTTTTAAAACATGAAATTTTAATATATTTTATTTAACCTGGCATGCCTAAATTTTTCAGTATTAGTAATCCTTAGTAATTCTAAGGATTTTTCCCTTTGAGGTCTGAAATGTGTGCCTTTTATACCTGTATTACATTCCCATTTAAAGAATTCAAAGCTCCATGTAGTCAGTAGGAAGGTACTGAACAGTTCTCAGAACGCATACCCTAAGGCTCCTGCAGTTTCTAATATTTAAGTTCCTTTTCGGTTTGCTGCTTTTCTTCCTACTCTAAAGATATCCAGATTTAGCCGAACGTGGTGGTGGTGCACACCTTTAATCCCAGCACTCAGGAGGCAGAGGCAGGCGACTCTCTGCGAGTTTGAGGCCAACCTGGTCTACAGAGGGAGTCCTGGACAGCCAAGTTTACACAGAGAAACCCTGTCTCAAACAACAAAAGATCCAGATTTGCCTGTAATCTCAGCATTCAAGAGGCTGAGAGTCAGGCAGTGGTGGCACACGCCTTTAATCCCAGCACTTGAGAGGCAGAGGCAGGTGGATCTGTGAGTT